TGCCGATATGTCATCTTGATCTGAAAAAGGTAGTATTTGTGGCATCCTAATATTTGGTTCTTGGGAAGGGTATTCTAGCACCCCTTCATCTATTTTCTGCTTAGATAGTTCTATCTTCTTGGCTTCTAATTCCAACCTTGATTGTTCTAACTCCCTCTGCTTAGCCTGTTCTTCAATTTCCTTCATTTTGAAGGCTACCTCTCTCGCCTGAGTTTCTTCCCTAGCTATCCTTTCCTGTTCTAGTTTATCCTCCCGAGCTAATCTTTCTCTTTCTTTTTCCTGTTCCTCTTTAGCAATAATATAACTATCAAGGCTTTGTCCAGTAAATCCCATTTCCTTTCCAGCTTTCAACCAGAAATCTAAAGAATCCATCTTGTAAAAAGAAATATTACGCACCAAACTGCAAATGACTTAATTAAAACTAACAGGAACGTCTGTTACAAAAGAGGGACACAGTCCGCACACTTTAAACTTCCCAAAGTAGAAAATGAACTAAATATTTCTCCCTGGAAGAATACACTTGTGGGCTCAATAGCCTTCACTAAGCAAAATGCACACGGTTCACACAGGAGGGGTTATTATCAAAGTTCCCCAGGTCCAACAAATAGGTAAACTTCTAAACCGAACCTTAGAACCAAACAACGGTAAGTCAACCAGACTACCAGTAATGACTTGACACCTCAACTAACTAACCTTTTTCTATCTTAAATGTTATACTCGCAACCAGTTGAACCATCAGGACGATGTCGCTTCAAGAGTCGCATCCTGGCAAGGTCGCCATTGTCAGTGGAACGCCTTCCATCTGAACAAAAAACTAATGGAAAAATAAATAAAGAAACTACTAGGAAAAATAAGAATAATGACTTGAGGATTTTACTTAAAATTTAAATATTAAAAAAAAAAAAATGGCCTTTGGTTCTTGTAGTTGGGTAGGAGTAGGTAAGGCCCTGGACAGATCTTCTATTATTTAAAGATGATGTAGGTTATCCTGGGCGGATGGTGATAGTCCGATGTTTTGGAATCTCCTCTACCACTTAGTTGGAGCACCACAAGTAGAACAGGTAAGGGCCAGGAGTAGTCCAATAATGTTAATAAGTCCCATTAACAAATGTCTTGCTCCTTTATCTGGCGTCTACCCTGGATGACCACGCCAGGAACAGAGCTGGTAATAAAAAATAAACTGGTTACCAATAGTCATGATAATATAACATTTAAGAATGGAAAAAAGAGTGATAAATGCCAAAATCATTACTGGTAACCAGCAAACAAAAGAAAGGAATAAACAGTAATACTCCTGGTAGATCACCCTACCTGATTAGGAGAAGAGTGGAGGTGAAGTGACTCTCCAAACTTCAACCCACACCAGGTAAGGTCAATACTACCAGGAATAGAAATTGAAACAAATTAGGCACCAAGAACTAGTTTCGCCCCAGCCCGCCAGGGAGGGGGGGGGGTGCGACGTAACTTGCTAATGGTTCCTGGCTGCCTGAACAACCTTAACCCCACTCACGCCTACTTTTCCCTCACAAGGAGCTCAACATGAGATTTAAAGAAGTATTTACAGTGGAGACAGGAAGAACTCCAGGAATCCAGAATAGGGAGGTACACCAACAAGTGCTGGATGAAATACACACAACCAAGGAGGTGAAGAAGCTGCTATGTGAACTTAATATCTCAAAGGCAGTGGGACCAGACATCTCTCTGTGGGTTCGTAGAGAGGGAGCAGAGATGCTGTGTGTGCCACTAACAAAAATCTCCAACACATCCATTGAAACTGGGCAACTACCTGAGGTATGGAAGATGGCAAATGTAGTCCCAGTTTACAAGAAAAGAGACAGACACGAGGCATTAAGCTACATAACTGTGTCACTGATGGGAATAGTATGCAAAGTCATGGAGATCATCTGGAGGAGAGTGGTAGAGCACCTAGAAAGACACAAGGTAACACAAGTAAGACACGAGAGAGAGGGGTGGATAGACTGCATTTTCTTAGGCTGCAAGAACGCCTTTGACACAGTTCCTCACAAGAGGTTAATGCAAAAGCTAGAGGATCAGGCACTCATAACAGGAAAGGCACTGCAGTGGATCAGAGAATATCTGACAGGGAGGCAACAATGAGTTATGATACGTGACGAGGTGTCAGAGTGGGCGCCTGTGACGAGCGGGTTTCGACAAGGGTCAGTCCTAGGACCTGTGTTGTTTTTGATATGTGTAAATGACATAACGGAAGGGATAGATTCTGAAGTGTCCTTGTTTGCAGATGATGTGAAGCTAATGAGGAGAATCAAATCGGTCGAGGATCAGGCAGACTACAAAGAGACCTGGAAATATTGAGGACATCACATATGAAAGGCCCCTTGGGGCCAGTGATCATGTGGTTCTGAGCTTCACATACACAGTATAGTCACAGGTGGAGGGGGAAGCAGGAAGGGCCAGACGAATGAAGCCAAACAATAAGAAAGGGGACTATGCAGGCATCAAGAACTTCCTGAACGGGGTTCATTGGGACAGAGAACTGGCAGGGAAGTCAGTAAATGAGATGACGGAATATGTGACAACAATACGCAACGATGCTGAGGTGAGGTTTGTACCCAAGGGTAACAGGAATAACGAAAAAGCCAGAACGAGCCCGTGGTTCCCCCAGAGGTGTAGGGAGGCTAAAACCAAGTGTGCTAGGTAATGGAAGAAGTATAGAAGGCAAAGGACCCAGGAGAATAAGGAGAGCAGGCGAAGAGCCAGAAATGAATATGCACAGGTAAAAAGGGAGGCCCAAAGACAATACATAGCAGCGAAAGTCAAATCTGACCCACAGCTGTTGTACAGCCACATCAGGAGGAAAATAACAGTCAAGGACCAGGTAATCAGGCTGAGGAAGGAAGGAGGGGAGGTCACAAAAAAATGACAGCGAAGTATGCGAGGGGCTCAACATGAGATTCAAAGAAGTGTTCAAAGAGGAGACAGAAGGGCCTCCAGGAAGGCGGAGAGGTGGGGTACACCATCAAGTGTTGGACATAACATACGACCGAGGAAGAAGTGAAGAGGCTGCTAAGCGAGCTAGATACCTCAAAGGCGATGGGGATGGATAACATCTCTCCATGGGTCCTTAGAGAGGGAGCAGATATGTTGTGCGTACCACTTACCACAATCTTCAACACATCCCTGGAAACTGGGCAACTACCTGAGGTATGGAAGACGGCAAATGTAGTTCCCATTTTCAAAAAAGGAGACAGAAAAGAGGCACTAAACTATAGACCTGTGTCATTGACGTGTATAGTATGCAAAATTATGGAGAAGATTATCAGGAGGAGAGTGGTGGAGCACCTGGAACGGAACAGGAGTATAAATGCCAACCAGCACGGATTCACGGAAGGCAAATCCTGTGTCACAAACCTTCTGGAGTTTTATGATAAAATAACAGAAGTAAGACAAGAGAGAGAGGGGTGGGTTGATTGCATCTTCTTGGACTGCAAGAAGGCCTTTGACACAGTTCCTCACAAGAGATTAGTGCAGAAGCTAGAGCATCAGGCGCATATAACAGGAAGGGCACTGCAATGGATCAGAGAATACCTGACAGGGAGGCAACAACGAGTCATGGTACGTAATGATGTATCACAGTGGGCACCTGTGACGAGCGGGGTCCCACAGGGGTCGGTCCTAGGACCAGTGCTATTTTTGGTATATGTGAACGACATGACGGAAGGGTTAGACTCAGAAGTGTCCCTGTTTGCAGACGATGTGAAGTTAATGAGGAGAATTAAATCTGATGAGGACCAGGCAGGACTTCAAAGAGACCTGGACAGACTGGACACCTGGTCCAGCAAATGGCTTCTCGAATTTAATCCTGCCAAATGCAAAGTCATGAAGATAGGGGAAGGGCACAGAAGACCACAGACAGAGTATAGGCTAGGTGGCCAAAGACTGCAAACCTCACTCAAGGAGAAAGATCTTGGGGTGAGTATAACACCGAGCATGTCTCCGGAAGCACACATCAATCAGATAACTGCTGCAGCATATGGGCGCCTGGCAAACCTGAGAACAGCATTCCGACACCTTAGTAAGGAATCATTCAAGACACTGTACACCGTGTATGTCAGGCCCATACTGGAGTATGCAGCACCTGTTTGGAACCCGCACTTGATAAAGCACGTCAAGAAACTAGAGAAAGTACAAAGGTTTGCAACAAGGTTAGTTCCAGAGCTAAGGGGAATGTCCTATGAAGAAAGATTAAGGGAAATCGGCCTGACGACACTGGAGGACAGGAGGGTCAGGGGAGACATGATAACGACATATAAAATACTGCGTGGAATAGACAAGGTGGACAAAGACAGGATGTTCCAGGGAGGGGACACAGAAACAAGAGGCCACAATTGGAAGTTGAAGACACAAATGAGTCAGAGAGATAGTAGGAAGTATTTCTTCAGTCATAGAGTTGTAAGGCAGTGGAATAGCCTAGAAAATGACGTAGTGGAGGCAGGAACCATACACAGTTTTAAGACGAGGTTTGATAAAGCTCATGGAGCGGGGAGAGAGAGGGTCTAGTAGCAACCGGTGAAGAGGCGGGGCCAGGAGCTAGGACTCGACCCCTGCAACCACAAATAGGTGAGTACAAATAGGTGAGTACACACAAACAAACACAACTAACACACATACACACACACTCCAGGAGCTATAACCCGACCCCTGCAACCACAATTATGTGAGTATAGTTTGGTGAATACAGACAATAGTTATTTTTTCCATCATTTAGTCTTTAATGAAAATTAAGGAAGATTATTTGTAGATGCCGTTTGTGATTAGAATTTAACAAATAACAATTATTGGGAACGTTATTACCAACAGTAACAGCATCATTACCGAGGGTGAAGAGACTACCAGCAGCAGTAGAAGCAGCAGCAGCAGCAGCAGCAGCAACAACATCGGTCTCAACAGCAGTATCTGCAACAACAACAACAGTAACAGAAGCAGAAGCAGCAGCAGCACTAGGAACATCCCCAGTAGATATGGATCACTTAGAACTGCAGCCACTACGAGAGGATAACATGACCCTGTTGGACGTAGGGTCAATGGGCAAGGTGAATCTGAGTTGGCCAGGGTCACCCAGCTTGACCTGTGGCCTCCAGATGAGGTTGTGGCCTCTCACCTTGTGTATGTGGATCAAGCCTCACCGCTTCCATAAAGACGACAACGTCCTCTACTTCGGAGACGCCCAGCGACATAGATACTTCCACCTCACAAGTGAGTGTTAGTGTTTGTCAGAGTGAGAGTCTTAGTGTGAATGAGAGTGATTGTGTGAGTGAGACAAGGTGTGTGTACTCACCAAATTGTGGTTGCAGGAGTCGAGTTATAGTTTCTGGTCCCCCTCTTTACTGGTCACTACTAGGTTCACTTTTTCCCTGCTCCATGAGCTTTATCATACCTCTTTTTAAAACTATGTATGGACCCTGCCTCCACTACATCACTCTCCAGATTGTTTCATTTTCTGACAACTCTATAGCTGAAGAAATACTTCCTAACATCCCTGTGACTCATCTGAGTTTTCAACCTCCAACTGTGCCCCCTTGTTTCTGTGTCACATCTCTAAAACATTCTGTCCCTATTCACCCCGTCAATTCCTCTCAGTATTTTATATGTTGTTATCATGTCTCCCCTATGCCCTCTGTCTTCCAGTGTTGTCAGGTTGAGTTCCCTTAACCTCTCCTCGTGGGACAAACCCCTCAGCTCCGAGACTAGTCTCGTTGCATTTCCTCTAATTTCTTGACGTGTTTGACCAGGTGTGGGTTCCATATTGGTGCTGCATACTCCAATATGGGCCTGACGTATACGGTGTACAGTATCGTGATTGACTCCTTACTTATATGTCAAAATACTATTCTCAGGTTTTCCAGGCGCCCTTATGCTACAGCAGTTATTTGGCTGATATGCGCCTCAGATGTGCTCGGTATAATGCTCACCATAAGATCCTTTTCCTTGAGTGAGTTTTGTAACCTCTGATTTCTTAGGCTGTACGCCGTCTGCGGTCTCCTTTGTCCTTCCCCAGGCTTTATAACATTGAACTTGGCGGGATTAAACTCCAGGGACCATTTGTGGGATCGGGCTTGCTGCCTGTCCAGATTCCCTTGTAGGTGTACCTGATCCTCGTCCGCCTGTATTCTCCTCACTAGTTTCACATCGTCTGCAAACAGGGACACCTCTTACTCTATCTCTTCAGTCATGTCATTCATATATACAAGAAACAGCACCGGATCTAGGACTGACTCTTGTGGAACCCCATTCAACACATACACCCACTCTGACACCTCGTCCCCGACCGACACACATTGTTTCTTTCCTGTCAAGTACTCCTCGACCCACTGCAGTATATTCCCTCCTATTCCTGTCTGCTCCTCTGGTTTTAAACCGGTTTCTTGTGTGGTACTGTTTCGAAAGCATTCTTACAGTCCAAGAAGATGCAGTTTACCAATCCCTCTCTCTCCTGTCTTACTTCTGTTACTTTGTCATAAAATTCCAATAGGTTCGTGTTGTAGTATTTTCCTTCCCTGAAGCTGTGCTGGTTGTTATGTATTAGTCCATTCCGTTCTAGGTGCTCCACCACTCTTCCTGTTAATCTTTACATACAGGTTAGCGACACTGGTCTGTAATTTAGTGTAGCATGTCTGTCTCCTTTTTTTTAAATTGGGACTACATTTGTCGTGTTTCACACCTCAGGCAGTTGCCCTGTTTCGATATATTTATTTATTTTCTGGACCCACCGCCTTCGAGGTATCTAGTTTTCCTAGCAGTTTCTTCACTTCCTTCTCGGTTGTGTGCAGTGTGTCCAGCACTTGCTTGTGCACCCTACCATGTCGGTTTCCTGGGAGCCTCTCTGTCTCTACTATAAATACCTTTTTTAATCTTGAGCTAAGCTCTTCACATATTTCTTGGTCGTTTCCTGTGAGCTCCCCTCCTTCCTTCCTCAACCTGATTGCCTGATTCTTGACTGTTGTTTTTCTCCTGACGTGGCTGTATAACAACTTTAGATCTGATTTGACTTTTGATGCTATGTCATTCTCGTATTGATGCTGGACTTCTCTCCTTCTCTGTGTATGTATTCTTTTTGGCTTTTCTGCTCAACTCCCTGTTTTCGTGGGCCCTTTACCTACTATACTTTTCCATACTCTAGCACACTTGGCTTTGGCCTCTCCATACCTCCTGGTAAGCCATGGGCTCACTCTAGTCTTCCTGTTGTTTCTGTTGCCCTTTAGTACGAGCTTCTTCCCTGCCTCCCTGCAATTTGTGGTCACATATTCCATCATTTTGTTTACTATGTTTCCCTCTAGCTCACTTACCCACTGCACCTCATGTAGGAATTGCCTCATAGTTGTGTAGGCCCCTTTTTGGAAGTTTGACTTCTCCTGTCCTTCTCGTGTTGCTTCGCTCTCCATTGTTAACTCTACTATGTAATCGAAACTCAAGACCACATGGTCTCTAGTGTGTGATATCTTCTATATCTGAACTGCTCAAGGTGAATACAAGGTCTAGCCTTGTTGGTTCATCGTCTCCTCTCTCCCTGGTTGTCTCCTTAACATGTTGATACATGAAGTTTTTTAGTACTGCCTCCAGCATCTTGACTCTCCACGTCCCTGGTCCCCCATGTGACTCCAGATTCTCCCAGTCAATCTCCATATGGTTGAAATCCCCTATGATAAATAACTTTGCCCTGCTCACATGGGCCTTTCTGGCAATCTCGGTTAGTGTGTCCACCATCACTCTGTTGCTCTCATCATATTCCTGTCTTGGCCTCCTGCTTTTCGGTGGCAGGTTTGTACATTCCTGATCCATCACTTGTGGGCCCTCAATATGCAATTCTGTTATGATGTAGTCATCTGCTACCCCTCTGATTAGACCTCCCATCTCCTTGAAACTCCATTGGTTTTTGATGAGAAGTGCAATTCCTTTTCCTTCTCTTCCCCCCTCCCCATCTTTCCTCAGGATTTGATAACCAGAGGGAAAGATTGCGTCTGTTATCGCTTCCATGAGCTTTGTCTCTGTGATTAGACCTGATTAGACCCCTCTGATTAGACCTCCGATCTCCTTAAAACTCCACTGGTTTTTGATGAGAAGTGCAACTCCTTTTCCTTCTCTTCCCCCTTTCCCAGCTTTCCTCAGGATCTGATAACCAAATGGAAAGATTGCATCTGTTATCACTTCCATGAGCTTTGTCTCTGTGATTGATATGATGTCTGGGGGATTCCTCAGTGGTTCTTTCCTGCCAGTCCTCGGCTTCCTTTCTAGAACTGTATTCTAGGGGGTAGGAGGGGTTGGTGTTCACTGTGGGTGTGGTAGGCAGGCCTGGATATATTGGTAGTTTGCTGGTGTGGAAGTATTAGTGCTGGGGATGGGGTGTGGGGACTGTGGATATGAAGTGTAGCTTGGCTTTTTTTATTGTGTTTGATTGGTGAGGGGTAGAAGAAGTTGAGGGGGGTGCAGTGGGTGAGTATGTGTACAGCTGTGTTTGCTGTTCCCTTCGAGGATGTGCTCCCCTGTCTGCCAGTGACTGCCTTGTCCTGCCTTTATGCCTCTGGTGCATTCTTACTCTTTCTCTCTGTTGTTCCCTTTCCTTTTGTATTCTCTCATGGTTGAGGCACACTCACTGGTATTTTTGAGAACCCTTTAACAGTGGCTTCCACTGCAAGATTTAGTTTCATGTCATTTCTTACTTGAATGTCAATTTGACTGGGTTCTTTTCCCTCGAGAACCACCCAAGTCTCTGAAAATTTGTCATTTGAGTCATGTCCTCTCCTGTTACCATGATGATGCTCTCAATCTCTTTAATCTCCCCCTGTTTTCTTTCGTATGTCTCTCCTACCTCAGGAAGCCTATGAATAATAAGTGTCCTCTCCCTTTCCTCACCCCATTTTGTTTCCCTCCATATTTCTAAGTCCAATTTATCACCTTGTTTGTCTCCCTTATCATTTCCTAGACGTCCTGGTTGCCTGATATTGTTTCCCTGAGGGACTTTTTTGCTCTTTCCCACCCTTCGGACCTCTCATTGTCCACTGTTGTTCTTTTACCCAGTTCCTATTGGTCCTTGCCTCTATATTCTGCTTGAGCACTTCCAGTTTCTCCTCCAATCTCTGCATCCTTGCCTCAGCAGCAAGAGCTCGTAACTCCCACTTCCTGCTCTCCATAGATATTTTCTCAACACTGTGTTGCAAAACTCACTTATCCTTTAATCCCACCCTTGCTTCATTTTGCTCTTGATCCTTTCTGTCAGTGCTTCTTGTTTGGCTGAGCCATCCCAGGTACACTTGTTTCTTCATCCTGCCATGTGTGTGAGGAGAAAGAAGGGGATGCTGGCGAGTGTGTGGTGGTGTTGGCATGTGTGTGTGTGGGGGGTGTTGGCATGTATGTGCGGGGGTGTTGGCATGTATGTGGGGGTGTTGGCATGTCTGTGGGGGGGTGTTGGCATGTGTGTGTAGGGGGTGGATGTGGGATGTTAGTGTGTGTGTGTGGTTATGTGTGTGTGTTTGTGTATGCATGTATTGGTGTTAGTGTTAGTGTGAGTGTATACTCACCTAGTTGTACTCACCTAGTTGTGCTTGCAAGGGTCGATTCACAGCTCCTGGCCCCGCCTCTTCACTGCTCAATACTAGGTCACTCTTCCTGCTACATGAGCTTTATCATACCTCTTTTAAAGCTATGTATGGATCCTGCCTCCACTACGTCACTACCCAGACTATTCCACTTCCTGACAACTCTGTAACTGAAGAAATACTTCCTAACATCCCTGTGATTCATCTGAGTCTTCAACTTCTAACTTTGACCCCTTGTTGCTGTGTCCCATCTCTGGAACATCCTGTCTCTGTCCACCTTGTCGATTCCTCTCAGTATTTTATATGTCATTATCATATCCCCTCCTCTATCTCTCCTGTCTTCCAGTGTCGTCAGGTCGATTTTCCTTAACCTCTCCTCGTACGACATACTCCTTAGCTTCGGGATTAGCCTTGTTGCAAACCTTTGCACTTTCTCCATTTTCCTTACGTGCTTGGCTAGGTATGGGTTCCAAACTTGTGCTGCATACTCCAATATGGGCCTAACGTACACAGTGTACAGGATTCTGAACGATTCCTTATTAAGATGTCGGAATGCTGTTCTTAGGTTTGCTAAACGCCTGTATACTGCAGCAATTATTTGGTTGTGTGCCTCAGGAGATGTGCCTGGTGTTATACTCGCCCCAAGATCCTTTTCCTTGAGGGAGGTTTGTAGTCTCTGGCCCCCTACATTGTACTCCGTCTGCGGTCTTCTTTGCCCTTCCCCAATCTTCATGACTTTGCACTTGGTGGGGTTGAACTCCAAGAGCCAGTTGCTGGACCAGACCTGCAGCCTGTCCAGATCCCTTTATAGTTCTGCCTGGTCCTCGTCCAATTGAATTCTTCGCATCAGCTTCATTTCATCTGTAAACAGGGACACTTCAGAGTCTATTACTTCTGTCACGTCGTTCACAAATACTAGAAATAGCACTGGTTCTAAGACAAGCCCCTGTGGAACCCCGCTCGTAACAGGCGCCCACTCTGACATTTTGTCACATACCATGGTTCTCTGATGTCTTCCCGTCAGGTATTCCCTGATCCATTGCAGTACCTTCCCTGTTATCCCTGCCCGGTCCTCCAGTTTTTGCACTAGTCTCTTGTGTAGAACTGTGTCAAAAGCCTTCTTACAGTCCAAGAAAAAGCAATCTACCTACCCCTCTCTCTCTTGTCTTACTACTGTCACCCTGTCATAGAACTCCTGTAGGATTGTGACACAGGATTTCCCTTCCCTAAACCCGTGCTGGCTGTCGTTGATAAGCTTATTCCTTTCTAGGTGCTCCACCACTCTTCTGATAATCTTATCCATGACTTTGCATACTATATACATGTTAGTGGCACTAGTCTGTAGTTTAATGCTTCGTGTCTGTCTCCTTTTTTAAAAACTGGGACTACATTTGCTGTCTTCCATACCTCAGGTAGCCGCCCTGTTTCGATAGATATGTTCAAAATTGTTGTTAGTGGTACACGTAGCGCCTCTGCTCCCTCTCTCAGGACCCATGGAGAGATGTTATCCGGCCTCATCGCCTTTGAGGTATCTAGCTCGCTTAGCAGCCTCTTCACTTCTTCCTCGGTTGTATGTATTGTGTCTAACAATTTAAGGTGTACCCTGTGTGTGTGTGTGTGTGTGTGTACTCACCTAATTGTGGTTGCAGGGGTCGATACTCAGCTCCTGGCCCCGCCTCTTCATTGATCGCTACTAGGTCCTCTCTCTGCTTCCAGAGCTTTGTCATACCACGTCTTAAAGCTATGTATGGTTCCTGCCTCCACTACATCACTTGTTAGGCTATTCCACTTCCTGACGACTCTATGACTGAAGAAATACTTCCTAACATCCCTCTGACTCGTCTGAGTCTTCAGCTTTCAATTGTGACCCCTTGTTTCTGTGTCCCCTCTCTGGAACAACCTGTCTCTGTTTACCTTATCTATTCCACGCAGTATTTTGTATGTCTTTATTATGTCTTCCCTGACCCGCCAGTCCTATTTCCCTCAACCTTTCTTCGTAGGATATTACCCTGAGCTCCGGAACTAGCCTTGTTACAAACCTTTGCACTTTCTCTAATTTCTTGACCTGTTTGACCAGGTGTGGGTTCCAAACTGGTGCTGCATACTCCAGTATGAGCCTGATGTACACAATGTACAGTGTCTTGAACGATTCCTTACTAAGGTATCGGAACGCTATTCTCAGGTTTGCCAGGCGCCCGTATGCTGCATCAGTTATCTGGTTGTGTGCCTCCGGAGACATGCTCGGTGTTATGGTCACCCCAAGATCTTTCTCCTTGAGCGAGGTTTGCAGTCCTTGGCCACCTAGTCTATATTCTGTCTGCGGTCTTCTATGCCCTTCTCCGATCTTCATGACTTTGCATTTTGCAGGGTTGAATTCAAGAAGCCAGTTACTGGACTACGTGTCCAGATCTCTTTGAAGTCCTACCTGATCCTCCTCAGATTTAATTCTCCTCGTTAACTTCACATCATCTGCGAACAGGGTCACCTCTGAGTCTATCCCTTCCATCATGTCATACACATATATCAGAAATAACGCTGGTCCTAGGACCGACCCCTGTGGGACCCCGCTCGTCACAGGTGCTCACTGTGATACCTCATCCCGTACCATGACTCGTTGTTGCCTCCCTGTCAGATATTCTCTGATCCATTGTAGTACCTTTCCTGTTATACGCACCTGATCCTCCAGCTTCTGCACTAGTCGCTTGTGAGGAACTGTGTCTAAGGCCTTCCTGCAGTCCAAGAAAATGCAGTCAACCCACCCCTCTCTCTCTCGTGTGTGTGTGTGTGTGTGTGTGTGTGTGTGAGCGCTCGCAATACCGATTGATGGTATAATACCGAGTGAGTGTAAGTACTAAGTGACTGTGTAGTACCAAGTGATTGTGCAATAATAAATGATTGTGGAATACTAATTGATTATTTAATAGACAATTTGCAGAAGATTTTGTGGAAGGTAGTTATTTTTTAACCCCCATATAGATATTGTAGTAGTTGGATGAATTGTAAAGGACTTGCCTAGTATGGGCCAACAGGCCAGGGGCAGTGTTCCTCCTTTCTTATGTTCTTATTAAAATACAGATTTCAGAATGTTGAACAGTTGACATATTCGTATATTTAGGTACTGTATTCTAGTGTCGCTGTATTTTATTCTGGTGTTACTACTGTATATTGTGTATTGGCCGAGAGTAGGAAGACGCTTTAACCAACCGTGTTGTTTCGTCAGTGTGCGGAGGCCACGTCAAAATTCGTGTGACGACGTGTATAGCAAAGCTGGACGTGAGCCTGAAGATACGAGAATGGCACCACGTGTGTGTGGTGTTGACACCGAGCCTCCAGTTGTATTACAACGGCCAGGCAGTAACCATCTCCCAGGAATGTACTGTCAACGGCAATGCTACGCTTGTGGATGAAGATGAAGACAACGTTGAAATTCTCATTGGTGGAACACTGCGTAACTCTATGCCTTTTTCAGGCTTTCTGGCAGACGTTGTATTATACGATGAGGTGTTGAGCAGTGCCGAGGTCAAGGACTTAGCCGCAGGGAGCAAGACACGACAAGAACTCATTAACGTGAACCAGTCCCTCTTTGAAGGTGCTAACATTGTTGGTACACTTGAGGGTGTCACCTTTGGTACTGTGGAGATAAAGGAACTCGTTGCTACTGATAAACATACAAGTTACATCTACTGTCAACAGAAGAGTAACTTCGATGACGCCAAGGAATTCTGCAAGAAGCTGGGAGCACAGCAGCTCGTGTATACACAGGAGAAGAGTCTACAACTCTCTAAAGAGCTTGTGAAGTACATTGCAAAAATGCCTAATCATATCAACGAAATTTGGGTACAACACAGTGTAGTGTCTCAGAATGAGGAAACATGTTCTCTCTTGCTAGTTAATCAAAAGTTTCCCTCAGTACAGTATGCTGACTGCCATACAATTGCTTATGCCTTTTGTGAGATTCAAAAGGACCGTACCTTCAAGCTACTTGGATTCAAAGACGATTACTTGTTCTTTACAGTTTACGACACTCCTGGGATATTTGAAGGTTTTAATTACCGCCTTGTATATAAAGACATGAAAATGACCTTGGAAAATGTGCAAAACGGGAAAATTTTATTCGAACGCCAACTGTATAATAGCATTCATGTAATGGGACGACACAAGTGGCGGGCAACGGACACTGTAAATCGAGAAACCAAAGTGACCACCATGACCTTCACGGCTTGCCAGGAAACACAGTTTACTTGTTCAAACGGCGACTGTGTTGATCTCGGGGTCGTCTGTGACTTCGTTAATGACTGTCAAGATGCAACCGACGAAATTTTGTGCAACGACACGGCGTCTTTCCCTGTTTTCTATAGCAAAATGTTCTCGCCTTCTCAAGGAAATGAAGGTGTAGCGTCAGTAAACCTCAAAGTCACGCTGGAACAAGTCAAAACGGTGGATCTTACCAACAACTTGCTGGAAATTGGTCTTAGGCTCGATGTTACGTGGCGAGACACTCGCGTTCACTTCAAATTTCTCAAGGAAGGCACCCCCGTCCGCTTGTCAGGGAAAGTGGTAAAGGAGCTATGGTTCCCAAGGGTCAGGATGGACAGTGCAGTTCCTGATAGTAAAGATAAATTCGACTTCTCACGTGATCCCAAAGATGTAGACGCTACAGCCAGGGGCGCCAGCCACGACACAGTTCTCGACAGCTATGAAGGTTGGTCGTTCTTCTCATATTTACAGAGATCGTAGAAATAGATATCTGTATATAACATTATGGTTAATTTCGCCAGTTTAAGCCATACATGAAGACTCCTGAATATAAAAATTAATGATACTCGATGTCTCGGGTTGCTGCTGGATGCCTGCAGAGTTCTGTAGTAGTGTATTTACAATCAATTTAACTACTCACTTTCTGTTACTTATTTTGACAACTAATAACCAAAGTTTATATAATTGTTTTAATAATTACCTGGGACACATGCTACGTAGATTATTCATACTTAGTTTTAGGGTCGTCATCCTATACGACCCAAAAAGTCATTGTCTCCGTGTACCTTAATTAAGTTTTCGTATATTTCTTCCATTTCTTCATATGAATAGTTTAATGCTATTGGTGTTAATGAACGATCTCTATCTCATATGCCTGATTATATTAGCCTGAATGGTCACTTCGGGTCGCTATTAGTGGACGAAGGATCGAACTTCAACTACTCATTGCTCTAAATCAGTGACAAATTCGTTCACTGCAAGTAGATAATATAATAATTTTATAAGGTCACTATAAAAGTGCCGTGTTATCAGCCTTTTGTGGCAGGTGCAGCTTCACGTGTTTTTCTGCCCCTACAGTGAGGATGTTCAACGGTGCTGAGACTGACCTCCACCTGGGCCAGGCTGACACCATAATTTTCATGTGCAACATGAACCTTTTCTTTTACCCTTTTGACATTCAGGTAAGTGTCTCCCACACCGCACATTCTTTCTACGTCCAGGTGTCTACCAAACCGCACATGTTTCTTACAGCCAGGTGTATTCCAGCCTGCACATGTTTTCTATAGCCAGGTAAGTGTCTCCCACACTGCACATGTTTCCAGGTAAGTTTATTTTCCACCTACACGTGTTTTTGATATGTACATATATTTATAACTGGAAATCAAATCTTAATGAAACAGAGGTAGAACTAAACTTTGCTTCAAATCAGCAAAGAACTGATGCAGCAGAGAAACTCGATTAGTTGCTTTGATATTTCTTGGTGTGCAGGGATAGCAGTTTTTTTTTGTCCTTCGTGATGTTTGTAATTATAAAATTCCCTGATTTACTGCGCTAGTCATGCATATTGTATATAATTCACTTTCATTGATGAAAATTGTAAAAATATCAGTATACATAGAAGCAGTGTTACAAAAAACGCGAGATCTATTAGGCATAGACATCTCTGGTGAATACTAGAAAGGTCTGCCCTTCTAGCAATCAGTCTGTTACTGGGTTTTTGTAACAAGTAGTCAGTATCCTGGTTCAGTCATCCTTTAGAATTTATCATAGTATTTTAGGATCACAATCGGTGGGCTACTAACTAAAGAAATTAAAATTAAGATATGTTTATTAGCAAAGTTAAAGTTGTCTAGGTGGACAATATCAACGAAAATATTTTATATAATATAGGATACAAGTTCCTACACTTCACTCGTGCTGCAAAAGTAAGTTATAGAGTATAATAATGCTGAAGGCACATTTTATATTTTTATGGCTCTTAAGTACCGTCTGGTACATTGTTAGCAATTATAAACATAATACTAATATATACAAGTGAGTGTGTGAATGTATGTGCTCCAAGTAGTCAGCTATGTCTCAAGACTACTCGATTTAACCAGTGACTGACTAAACGTCCTCAAATAATCTATTTTCCTGACCAAACTGGCAATCAGAACAGCTTGCTTGAACAGTATGGCGACCATTCCTCAACAGCAATAAAATCACGAGCAGCAGCAGCAGCAGCAGCAGCATGGAGTCAGGAACAAGTTGACAAAATAACGACCTTAACTGGGGTCCTTCTACAGATCCTCCACTAAAGGCATAAAACTCCCTTAATACTGAATCTAGGTTCAGTATAACCAAATCCCCGACTGCGACAATGCGCAGATTCCAGAACAGATTAGGTCAGAAGCTACAGCTCAGGACCTGGGTTAACTCAAGAGTGTCAGTGCAACACACAACCTCAGTAAAACGTCGAAAATCACTAGGTCTAGGCTATGATCTGTAAACAGAGCTGCGAGAAGTATGTTTCGTTTCGCCACCGAAAACATACTCTACCAAAACAGAGTCTAAACAACGAACACAACCAGAGACAAGAGAGGGAGGTGCTGGTCAGACCAGCACCAGCAGAGAAAGAGCGAGTAAGGGAAGGCGGCCTCCAACTCAGGTGCGATCTCGCGACTGGTCACGTGACTTGTCTGTGGACTGCTCCTGCCTAACTACTCCAGAGAAGCCGGCAGGGAAACAATCGAGGCGATAGTTAAGGTAGTTTGCCATCTGCGGGCAGCTACTCAACATTCTCGATCACTGATCACAGAATAAAGTGTAAATGTTACATCTTACCTAACAATATAGCTAAGTCAGATAATTATAATATAAAACAAGATATTTCCAATTTAGCTAATATTGGAAATAACAGCAATATAAAATTATATGGAAAGGTAATATACATTACATACATCGAATATACATTGGGCCCCATTCAGGAGTCGCAATATCGTCTTTGGTCAAAGGTCTCCCCCGTGTGTTGTATTTATTGTCAAATTTATTTAGTTTCAAAGAATCATCAATACTCTTCCAGGTGTCTTCTACTGTGTTTTTTATCTCATATTTCATTAACCTATCTGCTGGCAATCCTACTCCAGAATATCTAAATGTAATTACTTCTTCCAAACTCCTTCCATTCTTAACCTCTTACCGCCCATTCCCTTTATTTTTACTTATTCTCATCATCTTTCTCTTTTTTCACATTCACTTTCTAGTTGCTTGTTTTGCCAGCACTTCTAAACTCCTGTAACATCAGCACCAAGCTCTCTTCTGATTATCCCATACACACTTATCTCTGATTCACTTTGTCATTTAGATTTTCCAAATCAATAATTAAATGCAGCAAATAGCTCACTTAGTCCCAAGCGTGAATGCAGTTCTTCTCTAGTCCCAGCGCTTTCACACCTAACGTAAAATTAGGGCGCATTCTCGAGCCACAGGTGTGCAACATGTACTCCCTCGGTATCCTGATGTATAAATGGTGTGCAGGTAGTTTAGACTCGGGTTACAAGTAAATAAATGATCTTCACGTGTTTTGCAGGTGTGTAAGATACCACTGAGGCTCAGTGGCCAGATGATGACGGACGCCAGGTGGAACGCCAGCCAGGTGGCGGCGACGATCGACGCCAACTTCGTCCTAACGCTGTTCCACGTCATCCAGTTCTCCGTCAGCGTCCCTAGTCACCGCCAGGAGACAGTCAGTTCCCCACGTCTCACATTCAATTATTTTTGAGAGAGAGAAATACTAAATTACATAATTATGTTACACATAGGAATTGATTTTGTCATATGTAAACAGTTTCTTAAGAATGTTATCAATGTTATTGCATTTTAGTATAAAACGCTTGGATCACTCGGTGCCTTGAGAGTGGCAGGTATTCAGGTTTGATCTTAGGAGGGGAAAAATAGGTTCAATTCCTTGGATGAAGAACCCATCGCCAGCATCAAGCACTCCTTCTCGATGGGTTCCCCAAGTCATACTGACAACCAGCAGCGCAGCCAATGGGGAAAGGAGGCTAATGGGTCAGCCACGGGGAGCTAATGGGACAGCTACGAGAGAAATAATGGGGCGGACACGGGGGTCTAATGGGGCAGCCACGGGGGAAGACATATGTGGCAACCACTGGGGGAAGACTAATAGGGCAACCACGGGGGTAAGACTAAAGGGGGCAATCACCGGGGAAGATTAATGGGGCAGCCACGGAGGGCTAATGGAGCAACCAAGGGGGAAGACTAATGGGGTAACAACGGGGGCAAGACTAATTGGGCGGACACGGAGGGCATTCTGTATGTGTATTATCCACTAGTGTAACGTAATCCCTTACGTCACATGACCTGTACTCGGCGATTAGAAGAAGCTTAGGGCTGGCAATTAACCTTCTAGTTTTCCGCAAACTTGGAGGCCCAGCCTACCCGACCCCATATGGGGTGTGGTGTGGAGGCATGGAGGTGTGTATTCGGCCTTGGCTCTCGCATTTCTGAGAGGCTGGCGGGAGTCACTCACGCGACTATCCTCTGAGAAAACTTTTCCTTATTTATCCTGTTGGTACCTTTGCAACATTGCACAGCTCAAGTACTTTCACACTGAAAAGTGGGAAAGTACTTGAGCTAAAGATTTCCACTACTCGAGGCCTGTCTTGAATTGCTAAGATCGCCTGTCTACGATTGTATGCATATGCATACATATATGATGTGTTGATTGCAACACAAAAGGCCTAGAGCTATCATTCTACTCCCCCCGTGGCTGTTTTGCATATATATATATATATATATATATATATATATATATATATATATATATATATATATATATATATATATATATATATATATATATATATATATGTCGTGCCGAATAGGCAGAACTTGCGATCTTGGCTTAAATAGCAACGTTCATCTTGCCATATAGGACAAGTGAAAATTTGTGTATGCAATAATTTCGCCAAAATCATTCTGAACCTAACGAAAAAAATATATTTCACTGTGTTTGTTTAGTATTAAATTATTGAAAACAAATCTAAAATATATTTAGTTGGGTTGGGCTAAAAAAAATTTTTCTTGTTAAAAATAAGGTTGGGTAAGTTTTCAAGATTTTTTTGGGAGAAAAATTAAAATTTTTTACATTAACAAAAAGAAAAAAATATATTTTTAAAAAGATAAGAAAAAATTTTGGAAAGGATTAAATTTTAAATGAGTTCTTGCTAATTGACCGTTTTACATATTCGGACGCTATATTTTTTTAATTTATATATATATATTTATATATATATTATTATTATATATATATATAAATATATATATATATATATATATTATTAATTTTATAATGTTCAATTCAAGCAGGCAAAATTTTTTCCAAACGTTGTCTACGTCCACAACAAAACTCAACTTGCAAACTCGTTCGAGAAACCCAAAATACTTTACCAGGAGCTGACCAGGGGATATCTGATACAGAGTTTGCGGTTCGACCTGCTTGGAGTACAAGTAAATAATTTCCCTGTGTGTGTGTGTGGTGTGTTGTGTGTGGTATTCCCTAGTTGTACTCACGTGTTGAGGTTGCAGGGTCGAGACAAGCTCCTGGCCCCCCCCTTTTAAAACTGGTCCCCCAACCCTCCCCCTGAACCATGAGTTTATGTCCTCTGCTTAAAGCTATGTAGGGTCCTGCCTCCACTCATCGCTTCCTAAAATATTCCACTTCCTGATACTCTAGGCTAAAAAATATTGGTGGGGTGAGTGTGTGTGTGTGTGGTTGCAGGGGTCGGGCCTCATCCGGGCCCCCCCCTTTTCCCCATGTTGGTCGGTGTGTGTGCGTGCCGAATAAGTAAAACTATAAAGGCAAGAACTCTTTAAATTTTAAGTACTTTCTAAATTTTCTTTTATCGTTTAAATTATATTCTTTTTTCATTTATTTTAAATGTAAGAATTAAAAATTTTGTACTAAAAGAACCTTAGAAAACTTACCTAACCGTATTATAAAAAGGCATTTTAATTAGCCTAACCCAAAACAAAAATTTATTTTAGATAAATTTACAGAAATGTAATAATAAACAAACACAATAAAATTTATTTTTTTCGTTAGACAGAATGTTTTTGCGAAAATTACTGCATACCAAATTTTCGCTTGCATTTATTCGGCAAAAAAGAGCGCTGCTTTTTAAGCCAAAATACAATTTTTCCCTTTTTTCGGCACGAATATTTTTATTTTTAAATATATATATATATATATATAATATAATATATATATATATATATATATATATATATTTATAACAACACTGCGACTCCCAAAGGACTCGAACCATGCTGCTTTGACCTGCCTCAGGGTGGGCGAAAACTCATGCCCCTTAATCACTGGACCATACAATCGTTAAGGTAGGCATCCAGCGGAACTGGATGTTCTACGTGGCCGTAATATAAAATATGTCTTGTTATTTCAAAAAACAGGGATTGAATAAATTACCCAAAGGTCATCCACACCACCGTATACCTTGGGTGTGAGTACAACACCAGTTCCGCTGGATGCGCTCCCTTTTAACGTTGTATGGTTCGTGATTAAGGGTCATGAGTTTTCGCCACCATGAGGCAGGCCAAAGCAGCAGGGGTTTCGAGTCCTTGGTGTCGCGTATTGTTAATGATCATCCCCACTCGTTCGGGGGCCCCAATTATATATATATTAAATTTAAAATTTTATTATATTATTAATATATAATATTTATATATATATTTATATATTTTTATTATTATATATGAGGGAATTCGCAAGAGAGGCAAAATAAAAATCACGATCTCTGGCCGAAGGAGTTCGAACCAGACTCGGCCAGGATCAATGTTTGGTATATTTCGCCTGCTTTTGCGAATTCCTTTGCATTGTTAAATCTCTAGTTGGCGATCCAGAAAGGGATGAGTGAAAAGCTGTAACCCTTCCCCCTAAGGCGGGCTCCCTTCGTCAACGTCTAGCGTGAGCTGGGCCCCAAAGGTTTGGTCCGTGTGGTGGAAAATGGAAAAAGACGCTTACCTTGTTCCAAGGTTTGTAGGTTGAGTCTCCTTGGCAGAGATCAGCTTTAATATATATATATATATATATTATATATTTTTTTTTATTATATATATTATATTTATAAAAAAAAAACCTGAACTGCTTTACTATAGTGGGGATTGTGGTGTTTTTTTTTGTCTCAAAACACATGGGCCGTTCCCAAAAAGGCGGGTGACCCAAAAAAAAGAAAAAGTTCACCTCTTCATTTCATCACAGTGTTGCCAAGGGCGCTTACCACCCACGAAATTTCAACCATCACAGTTTTATAAAGTTTTTCTTTTTCCCCTTTTTTTAGTATTTTCTACGGGAGAAAGGGTTACTAGCCCCTTCTCCCGGGGCTTCTTAGTCCCCTCATCAAACACTACTACCTTAAAATTATTTATATATATATATATATATATTATTTTTAAATATTATTTATATATATATTATATATATATTTTTTATTTTTTATATATTGTGTGTGGTGGGTGTATCACCTAATTTGTGGTTCCCAGGGGTCGAGACTCAGTCCTGGCCCCCCCTCTTCAGTCGCTCTGGATCCTCTTCTCCTGTTTCCCTAGCTTTGTCTCTTCTTTTAAAACTATGTTGGTTCCTGCCTCCATCTTTCACTTGCTGGCTATTCCACTTGCTGACAACTCTTGCTGAAGAAATACTTCCTACGTCCCTTGCCGTCTGAGCTTCAGCTTCCAGTTGTGCCCCCTTGTCCCTGTGCCCCCTCTCTGGAAACCTTCCTGTCCCCTTGTCATTCCCCGCAGTATCTTGTATGCGTTATATGTCCCCCCTGCCCCTTTGTCCCCCAGTGCGTCGTCCTTTTTCCCCTTAATTTTTCCCCTGTCGACTTTCCCCTTGGCTCTGGAACTAGCCTTGTTGCAAACCTTTGTACTTTCTCAAATTTTTGACGTGCTTGACCGGTGTGGGTTCCCAGACTGGTGTGCTACCCAGTATGGGCCTAACATACACGTGTCAGTGTTTTGAACGATTCCTTATTAAGGGTATCGGAACGATTCTAGGTTTGCCAGGCCCCCGTATGCTGCAGGGGTTTTATTTGGTTGTGTGTGCCCCCGGTGATGTGTCGGTGTTAAGGTCACCCAAGGGTCTTTTCTCCCTGAGTGAGGTCTGTAGTTTTGCCCACCTAGCCATCTCTGTCTGCGGTCTTCTTTGCCCCTCCCCATTGTTCATGACTTTGATTTGGGGGTTTTGAATTCGAGAAGCCAGTTCTGGCCCACATGTCAGCCTCTCCGGGTTCTTTGCAGCCCGCCTCATCCTCGTCCCATTTAAATTTTTCTCATCAAACTTTTCATCTGCGAAAGGGACATTCGGTCTATTCCTTCCTCATTTTGTTCACATTATCAAAAAAACACTGGTCCTGAACTGACCCCCCGTGGGCCCGCTCGTAACAGGGCCCCCTGTGTACTCTTCCGTTCCCTGACTCGTTGCTGCCTCCCCGTGGTTTCCCCATCCTTTTCATGCCCTTCCTTTTTCGGTCCTGATCCCCCAGCTTTGCATAATCTTGTGGGGAAAATGTGTCAAAGGCTTCCTGCAGTCTAGGAAAACGAATTACCCAAACCCCCTTTTCTCTGTTTTCTTTGTTTCCTTGGGCATAAAACTCCAGGGGGTTTGGATCAAGATTTTCCTTCCCTGAACCCCTGCGGTTTTTT